ACACACAGCAGCTGGGTCTGCAACAGCTGGACACACAGCAGCTAGGGCGACAGCAGGAGGGGCTGCAGCAGCTAGAAATGCAGCAGCTGGGGCGGCAGCAGCTGGATCCACAACAGCTGGAACTGCTACAGCAGGGGCGGCAGCAGGAAGGCCTGCAGCAGCTGGGTCTGCAACAGCTGGACATGCAGCAGCTAGGGCGGCAGCAGGAAGGCCTGCAGCAGCTAGAAATGCAGCAGCTGGGGCGGCAGCAGCTGGATCCACAACAGCTGGAACTGCTACAGCAGGGGCGGCAGCAGGAAGGCCTGCAGCAGCTGGGTCTGCAACAGCTGGACACACAGCAGCTAGGGCGACAGCAGGAGGGGCTGCAGCAGCTAGAAATGCAGCAAGATGGCCTGCAGCAGCTGGACACACAACAGCTGGGCTGGCAGCAGGGCTGGCAGCAGGGCTGGCAGCAGCTGGAGATGCAACAGCTGGGGCGGCAGCAGGTGGTCCTGCAGCAGGTGGCCTGGCAGCAGCTGGGCTGGCAGCAGCCTTGACCACAGCCCTCCTCAGAGCAGACAGAGCCACAGGAGTTGACCATGGTGTCAGAGATGGAGGTTCTGGATGGGTTTACAAGGAGTTGGGTTGAAAGATTTGGAAGTGAGAGTCTCCCTGCCCACATCCCCTTTTATACCCTGCTGAGGGGCTGCTGTCCTCACATGCAGCATTCTTTCCTTGTTATTGTTTATGTTAATAAATAGGTGATTATCGAATTAGGCAAGTTTCTTTTCCTGGCTAAATTATCAAGGTGGATGAAAAACACGATTTCCTTTTCCTGGTATGTTCATTGTCCAGAGCTGCTGAGCCACCATCCAAATGGCTTTCCTCATTCAGTTTCTTTGAAGAGAGCTGTCACCTGGCATTTTGCATCTTGGTTCTGTTCACTTTGTTCTCATTTTGTATGGCCCGCTGTACCCTTAGGTCAGGGTTGTGGTAATGTAAGTCTATGAAAATATCTCTTATAGTCTAAGAAACTGCAACTTTTGCTGGATGTATACATACTCATACTTAATACATATACAGTATTTTAATAAAAGATATGCACAGACCTTCAATGAAAGTTATTTTGTTAATTATTGGGGCTGCTACATACATTTAAGGACAGGCCAGGAGGTGGTGGCACACGCCTTTAATCCCAGCACTCAGGAGGCAGAGGCTGGTGGATCTCTGTGAGTTCAAGGCCAGCCTGGTCTACAGAGCGAGTTCCAGGCCAGGCTCCAAAGCAATACAGAAAAACCCTGTCTCGGAAAAAAAAAATTAAGGAGATTAAGAAAGACATTTCCCCATGTAACACACACACACACACACACACACACACACACACACACACACACACACACACACGAGAGAGAGAGAGAGAGAGAGAGAGAGAGAGAGAGAGAGAGAG